ATCAAAACAGGACCTTTCAGGATCCTTGCAGAGGACATGCTCTGATGTGCTGTTACCTTCCAAAACTGTCCTTGTGAAGCTGGAATGTGCACGTTCTTCTAGAATTTGGTAGGCGGATGGTTGGACTGCATGATCTTGGAGGTCTTTTCCAACCTGAGCAATTCTATGATTCCAATTTAATAATGCATCTCCGTTGCTCTGCTAGCGTGGTCCTGGGAAGAAGAAGAGAGATGGCTGTAACTGTGACGGTTTATGAAGGCACATAATTCCTCTTGATTACTCCTGATGTCCTGGCTCTCCAGTGCATTAGGAGAGGTGACAGTGGAACCTTGGCTTCAATTCATATGCCCATGAAACATATGTGCTGCTCCTGGGACAGCCTCACTGGACAGAGAGTTGGAAAGAGTGGGAGAATAAATGAAATATCACAAAGTCCACACCCCCTCCTCCTGTGCCCATTTGAGTCCTGGCAGTGTTTATCTGGCTGAGACAGATACCAACCAAGGAATCCAGGTCAGAGCTGAAGTTCTCCAAGGCTAATGCAAAAAGATTGGGCTTGATCTAGTGTTCCAAATCTGGTAGTCCAGACCAGTAAAGGCAGATACCTGCCTGCATAGTGCTTCCATGCCACCACAAATGCTGGTGCTATCAGGCTAGGAAGGAGGTGCTCAGCTCTTTTACAAATGGACCGGAGTGTAAGAACTCTTTCTTCTCTTTTTCATGCACTGTTGATGATACAAATCTCTCTCACTACTTTGCTTCTTCCAAACCTGCTCTGCGGGTTTCTGTCTATTCAGCTCTACCTCCCCCAGTGTGAGAACTGACACCCTTTTTCTGGAAGTCTCAGGAAGCATCTCAGTCTAATAAGCATCACGGGGAGGAAACGTTTCTTTTAAAAATACCATCTTGGGAATGAGTATTTTGTTGGTGCTGTCAGAAATAAGCTTCCACAGAGCTCAGCCCCAGCAGCTCCCTCAGGTGCCCGTGTGGACAGAGATCCACAGACCCGCTCCGCACCCAAAGGGCCCCTCCTGCGGCTCAGAGACAGCACTGCTGCACAGAGAAGGGCTTCTCCCTGCACGGCTGCACTGCTGCCTCCATGAGCAACAGGGTAGTTTTGTAAGAAGCTAATGATGCTAAGGAGTGCAAGCACTGAGTCTTACGTGCACGCTTATTGCAGTGACACAGTAAATGTGATTTGTTCACCCTTCTTCCTGTACAGGGGGTACAGGACAATGCAGCAAGTGGTGCTGTCAGAACAAGCAGTGTCAGCAGTAGAGGGAGAGGCCACTGCTGTTTGCGTCATCCTGCAAGTATAAGCAGAAAGCCAAGCAGCAGAAGTAGTGTGTGAAGGCTGCGGCTAGGGAGCAGGAATAAGAGATGCTCCTGAAGTTCTTGTGAAGGCTGCAGCTGTGATGCCGCTACTGGAGGTGGGATTTGTGCCTCTCAGTACTGAGAAGGAATTGAGAACTGGCCAGTGTCCAGAGAGAAGCAATAAGAATAGCCATGAGTTTGATGTAGCTGTTCACTTCCCCATGCTCAGTGAGATGGGGGCAGGCCCAGATTTAGCTGCCTGTGGTCTAGTGCATAACTAAGATGCTACCACATGCCGGCTTCCACTGCCTCGTGGCTTCTGTTGGTCCTAAGGGATGTTCCCCTCTTCTGCTGCATTTTTCTTTCTTCCCTTCAATTGTTGTTTCTTTGCAGCCCTCCTGGATCTGTCTGGTGCAGCTCAGGTCAAAGGGGTATGGATGGGATCTGCCACTATACCATGTACCTACATGCCTTCACGAGGTTTCACACAGCAGGTGCTCATCTGGCGCGTGGAGAGAGACCTCAGCACCTCCACCATCTTTCGGAGGGATGCTTCTGGTGATCACATCCTGTTATCTCGGTTCCGAAACCGAGTCAGTGTCCCAAAGAGCAGCCCAGGGGATGCCTCACTCCACATCACAGACCTCGAAATTCCTGACAGCGGACACTACACCTGTCAAGTCAGCTGGAGGTCTGAAAACTACAGCCTGATAACGAAGGAGGTGACCACTACGGTTAAAGTCTCCAAAGGTAATCCAGCAATAAAGCTTTGCTGTTGTATAATCTGCAGAACAATGTGGAGAAGAGGCAGTTCACTCCATTCTGCCTGCCCATATCCATATTGAGTTGGGTGTTGAGGTACCTGGATGGGAAGAGCCTTCTGCTCAGTTCTGTGCGTTCAGGAAGGGATAGCAGTGAGTCTGCACTCACTGTGGTGTGGATCTGCCAGTGGGACACAGATCCAGGTGCACCCAGGACTGGATCTGGTTCTGTGCAGATACCCAATGTCCCTGGCTCTTGTAGCACATGGGAATCATGCTGGCCGGACGTGCCTTCCCCCCTTTCCAAGCACTCTCAGTGTGCGTTTAAATAAAAAGCTCTTTCCTCAGAGGGGCCTTATGGCAGCATTGGGAAAGGCAACAACTCAGCAGAGCAGGCTGATGTGGTGCAGCAGTGGCAATAGGTGACACAGCTGGTGTACATCTATATCCATAGGCACAGCTGCACAGAGCGCAACCCAGTGGTGATGTCCTGGGAAAGGACCATGAGGATGGGAGTTGCTTTAGTGTGAGGGAAACCTTCCCCTACCACAGCCACCATGACCCATCTGCTTTGTCTTGTAGTGGCTGTGACCAAGCCCACCATTGTGGCTGGAGAGCTGGGGCTGGCTGTGCCGGTGGGAGCCAAGGCTAGCCTGACCTGTGTGGCACAAGGGTCCCCCCCCATCAACTACCACTGGTTCCGGATGGCACCAGGCAGGAGTGGGCAGCTCCTGGGCAATGAAGCTGAGCTGGTGTGGAGCAGCCTGCAGCCCTCTGATGCAGGGGTGTACTACTGCGAGGTGAAGAACAGGGTCAATACCCAGATGGTGCAGCGCAGTGATGCTGTTGAGCTGACAGTGAGAGGTGAGTCCCAGCCCTCAACTCCTCATTGAGGCAGACACAGAGGGGTGCAGGGTTTGGGTGCATAATGTCAAATGTGGATCGTGTCCTGCCTGCTTCAGAGCGTAGCAAGTCAGGCAAAGCCCAGGAGATGGCACCCAGCCCCTGGCAGCATGGCTGAGCAGGAGGGAGCCTGGCTCAGCCCTCAGCGCACCTCATGGTGCCTGGCAAGCCATGCTGGCAGAGTGAGGCTGATGCTATAGTGCCTATGGAGAAGGACTCCAGGCATGCAGGAGTGGCTGGGGGAGTGCTGCATCCTGTGGGCACATGTTGAGCCTCCTTGCCCTTTTCATTTGCAGATCTGTCTGTCACGACGGAGGCACACCGCCCAGCCACAGGTCAGCAGAGAGCAATATGTGACCAGGGTGAGGGGCTGGGGGCTGGGAGCTGACCCAGTGCTTAGCAGTAATAACAGCAATCTTGGGATGATGCTTAAGTCAGTCCAAAAGTCACCAAGACGACAAGCTGATGCAATGCCTGAAATCCTTCCCAAGAGCACATGCAGACCATGTACTGCCACTTCGGTTCCCTACCGCAGTCTCTTGGCAACCATCCATGGGAACACAAACTCAGTGATGCCACATAAAACTGGCCCAGAGGAGGGGGGAAGCTTATATTGATATCTGCAATTAGGCATGCCACCTCAGACTCTCCTTAGACCTTAGAAAGGACCAAACAGAAACAACAGATACAAATGAGACAAAAGCCTCTGTAAAGCAGCTGCTTTCCTTGCCAAGGATATCTCCTCTGAGGAAGGATGCAAAGTTGCCAGTTCATCTCTGTGGGTTGTGGGAACTCAGACCTGGGCTACGGTAGAACCTCTTGTAGAAACTTTAACATTGAGGTCATTTCATCTGAACCGATTGTGTGCCACCATAGCAGGTCATGTAAATCAGCTTCAGCAGCTAGAAGTTAAGGGAAGGGGCTGCTTATTTCCAGAGCTTATCTATTTCCACGGCAGATTGGAATTGCACTGCACACTTCTCATTCTTGTTGGTTTTGCAGATCTGCCTGAAGCTGCAGTGACTTCTGAGAATGTTGTGGGATACCCAGAAACAGATGAAACAACTCAGAGTAAGTTGAGACATCGGTGTAACTCTGAACAAGATTGAGGGACCTGAACTGACTGCTCAGTATCTTCCATTCCAAAGTTCGTGTTCTGTATTTTGGCTACGAATGGCATTGCTAGCTGTTCTCAAGGGACCTAGATGTTTTTTAGGGACTCTTAAAATAAACCAGATACTTCTAGGGAAAAAAGAAATACGTTCCATAACCAGAACATCCAGACTTCTTGCAGCATTCCTGACCAGTAGTTCATTCTGCTCTCAAGGCTGGAGCAACAAAAAGGACTGTATACAAACTGACTCTCTGTACCTCAGCTAAGTTTGCAGTGCCATGGTAGGTTTGAACATACTCCAAATACAATTGGACAGCATCCTTGAATGAAAAGTGTTAAGGGCACCATCTGAAAGTCTTTCTTCAATGGCATGCACTGCACAATTCCGCCCCGCTCACAGCTACAGCCTCAGCACTCAGCAGGAGGCTCTGGCTCACATAAAAATACCCACATGGGGCCAAATGGGCAAGATGCTGCTACATGGGGAGTAGCAGGGACATAGTCAAGTAGTGCACAACTGCACGCAGAGCTCAGGGGCTGGCTGGGCCTCCAGGATGTGGTCAGCACCATGTAAGTGCTGTTGCAGCCTGGGAGGGCTTCTCTGTTTGAAAGTCTTGTGCCATATTGCTACAGGTTCCTGGAGGACTCACCTGTACCTGGTCATCCCGATTGCTGTGTTGGGTGGTGCTGTGGTTTTCCTTGTCATTTTTGCTATTGCTTGTGCTAGAAAGCCCAAAAATGGTGAGTAGATTGTTGTGGGGAGCTTGAATGCCTGCCGTGGTTTGGCTTTGAGGGCTTTGTGGGCTGGGGTTGGTACTGTCCTCACAGCTGTGCGTGACAGCTCTGGTAGCTGAATTGTGAAGACACCTGACCAAAGCAGACACAAATTAAAATAGGTGGTGAAAGACTGAAAAAGGCATTTCCTTTTTATTAACAAACACAGAATATATTTATTGAATGCTTGAACACACAAGAGCATGCACTTTCTAAAAATTATTTTTGTTAAAGGCATTCAGAACAGCATCTTTTTAACAGGGGTGGGCAGGTAGGGCAGGGCACTGTGCTCCCTCCAGCCCCATTCCTAATCCCCACAGTCCCATCACTCTGCCTTGGCCCCCTCCTTGCCCCACTGTCCCCCCAGGGAGCAACAAGGTGGATTCCTGAAGGTGCAAATACCTGGAAGCATCTGTGGTTTCTTTGTTGGTTTTGCTTGCTTTCTTCCCTTTTTATTTTTATTTCTGGGGTACATTCGTCATAAAATGTACTGATGCATATCTTCAATTCTTCCTTTTTTTCAGAATCCATCTATGAAGTTGCTTTGTAAGTACAATTTTTCACCTATTATGTTGAGAAGACTTTTGAGGGCATCATACTGTTATTTGTTTCAGAAAAGCCTTTTTACTCAGCAAAAAGCCAGAGATTTCTTTTATCTGTCTGGGACAGAGTTAATATTCCTCATAACACCCCTAACACTGCTTTACATTTGTGCCTAAAACAGTGTCAGTAACCCCACAGGGATTTGGCTATTGCTGAGCACTTGTGCAGCACCAAGGCTCTCTTTCCAACCCACAGAGGCCAGCAGGTCGGGGTTGGCAACAGCTTGGGTAGGACGCAGCCAGGACAGCTGACCTATCCTGACCACAAAGATTTTCCACACCGTATGACACCCAGCTCAACAATAATGCTGAGGGATGTGGGAGGAGCTAGGGGAGGCGTTTCTGGTTACATCAATTGCCTTTGGAAGCAACCATCACGTGTACTGAGGCTCAGATTCCCAGGCAGTGGCTGGGTATTGCCGGCCGATGGGAAGCAAAGAATAAATCACCCTGCTTCTTTCTGATCGCTTCCACACGTGGCCTTTGCTTTTGTCATTAAAGTGCCTCTAACTTAATTCGAGAACTTGTCCATCTTACATTCTCTCCATTATGCAGAGGAGGTGGAGTGAGATAGCAGCTGTTAAGGGGGATTTAGTCCTCATTCTTAAGAATGTCTCTTTGTTTCAGCCACCGCACTGCAGATGTGATTAGATTGGACACTGATGTGGAAGTACCTGTTAAGTGCAGAAAAGAGAAGATAAATTCTGAGACTGAAGAATCCTATGAAAATGTTACCGTGACATGCAACAACTATGAGAGCATAACAGGCAACAGCTATGAGAACACATGCCTGAGTAAAGATGCTGAGAGTGAGACCCTTGTGAATGCAATGGAATCAGAATACGAAGTACAGAACTTTCAGTAGAGTACCAGCATTTCCCACGTGAGCAGCTGTGCAGAAGATGAGGCTACAGATATTGAGCGGTAAACTTTACCAAGGGAAACTATTCTTCCTGTCTGCCTTCTCCTCTGATAAATATACCAGTTTTACTGCTTTCTTTAACTCAGGGGAACTTCTTAGGATTTGGCAAATGAGTCCCTGCCCAGTGGTGCAGAAACCTTCAGCCAAGCAGCTGTCTGTCCACACATTTTTAAATAGCAAATAATTTCTGAGCAGCCTGAAGGAGCAAAGTGAGCAAGAAAGGGTCTGAAGGGGTGGAAACAGAAACGTCCTTTGCCTCCAGGTCAAAGTGCAGCTGGGTGCAACACTGCTAGCCAATAACACCAGCAAGGCGCACTCTCAAGTGCATGTTCCCCTGTTTGGGCATGCCAGACTGCGAGGAGCCAAGAACTGTACTGGAAATGGATGGCTTCTGGCTTTTACAGTGCAGCAGATACTGGTTGTACTGCTTGTTTGTTCTGGAGTTGTCTTGTTGTTAGAGGATACTAAAAAGACTACAGAAGGGGTTGATATCCCAGGAATATCATTTAGCAATCAAACTGGAGCTCCTCACAAGTGGGAATAACCCTGTAGGTGATGAGCCTCTTAACTAGCACCCTCTGTTTTTCTTCTGGCAAAGCAGAGCTGGTTTTGAAGGGATTACTAGCACTTCATTTTGCACTGTGGAAGCCAGAAGCATGATAAAAAAGCGTTGCAGAGAGAAATCTGAGGCATTTGGAACAGTGACTGAGTAAGGGAGATCCTGGATCCAACAGACTGACACCAACTCACTGTATGGGACATGACTAAATCTGGTTACACTTGTGATGTTCATGCTTGTCTATCTAATGAGGGTGCCGTGAGCTTTCATTTGTAAAATGCCTTGATTAGTGCACTGCCATTTGTTTCCCATGGCAAATATAAAGTACTTCAAAAGCATCTGTAGTAGATGCTTTCTGGCTTTCTTGGTGTTTTACCACACAGTGCCTTCACATGTCTGTTGTTTGCAAATTTGTGCTCTTTCTCTGTCTTCTGGTTCGATTATGTAGAACGGATACGGGTACAGACCAGACGTGGCCAGCATTTGACTTTTGGCCTTTGGCACAGTAGCAACATCCTTTTCTCCAAATTGGAAAGATGGATTTGATGGGTGGACTGGTCAACAGACAAAGAACTGGATGCAGAATCGAGGCCAGAGAGTGTTTGTCAATGGCTCCATGTCTGGATGGAGATCAGTGATGCGTGGTGTCCCCCGGGGGTCAGTACTGGGACTGATACTCTTTAATATCTTCATCAGTGACAGCAACAGTGGGATCGAGTGCACCCTCAGCAGTTTGCTGATACCCCAAGCTGTGAGGTGTGGCGGACACACCAGAGGGATGTGATGCAAATGTGGGGTCTTGCACTTGGGTTGAGGCAACCCTCACTACCAATACAAACTGGGGGATGAAAGGAATGATAGAAAAGCATTGCAGAGAGAAATCTGAGGCATTTGGAATAGTGACTGAGTAAGGGAGATCCTGGATGAAAAAGCCCTGGGGGTACTGGTGGGTGGAAGGCTGGACAGGAACCAACAGCATGCCTCGCAGCCCAGAAAGCCAACTGTATGCTGGGCTGAATCAAAAGATGCGTGGCCAGCAGGGCAAGAGAGGTGATCCTGCACCTCTACTCTATGCTGTGAGGCTTCACCTGGAGCACTGCATCCAGACAGGAGAGACATAGACCTGTTGGAGAGCATCCAGAGGACGGCCACAGAAATGATCCCAGGGATGGAACACCTCTCCTACGATGACAGGCTGCGACCCGGGCCTGTTCAGCCTGAAGAGAAGACTGTGAGGTGACCTGGGAGTGGCCTTTTGGTATCTAAAGGGGAGCTGAGGGAATGAAGGGGACAGCCTCTGTAGCAGGGTCTGTGGTGATGGAACAAGGGTAAATGGCTTCAAGCATAAAAGGGGAGATTTAGGTTGGATATGTGGTGGTGAGGCACCGGAACAGGTTGCAGAGAGATGTGGAGGATACTCCAACCCTGGAAACTTTCACGGTAAGGCTGGATCAGGCCCTGGGCAACCTGGGAGCTGTGGATGTCCCTGTTCATTGCAGGGGAGTTGGACTAGATGACCTCTGAAGGTCCCTTCCAACTGTAAGGAATCTCTGACTCTGTGACTTGGAAGTTTGACCTGGGTTTCCTTTTTAGAGAGGACAGGTGAGAGACATCAAGCCCACACCACGCTCCTCTCATTATTTCAACCACAGTTGCAGGCACTGCACGATGGCTGTGCTGCAGCACCAGGATGCTGAGCTTCCTGAGTTGCAGGTAGCACCCAGCAGGACTGTGTCCCCAGGGGCTACGTGGGGCTCAGCCTCATGCTAAGCATTGATCTGCACACATGTGTTGCTGGTGCTTCCACCTGGCCTGCTCCCTGCTCCTGCCTGCTGGAGAGGAGGGTAGCTGTGTCCTGGCTGAGGAGGAGAAGTGCTGGGATTGCTGGAAATATGTGCGAGGGGCTCTTTTGCTTTGTCTCTGGGTAGCTCATCCTGAAAGGGCTGTGTGCTCTTTGTAACTCATGCACTCACTGCAGAGTGCACCTCACAGAAGCTGGCCTTGAAGGCGCAGGGTTGAAACAGTAGTGTTGGTGCTGCCAGTCTTGGGTGAAGCAGGACAAAAGAAATGAGGAAAATGGGGAGCTGCAGCCCTTTGCACAGGGAGCAGAAGCATATGGTATGAGGCCAGTGCTGTGTTGGAAGGAACTGAAAGCTTCTGAGCTTCCCAATTGTCATCACAGCAGACAAAATGTAGAACATGGCTCTCTTTTCTTCCATTCCATGTCTCAAGCTCATTCATTTACAGCTAGCCTAATGTGTTAGGCAAGATTTACTTTCAATATAAGCTCCAGACTTCACATTCCCTCACTGACTATGTAACAATGTGATTTCTCCAAACTGCGCTTCCTCCCAGCATCAATCTTCCCTGAGCAACTCCAGGCAGTTTCCTCAGGAGCCCTGAATTCAAGGAAAGGCTGCAAAAGAAGAAAGCAACAGGAACAAAGAAAGAGGTAGCAAACACCTCAGCTGGAGCGCATCCTGAGTACCTCAGCTGTTGGCAGTGCCTCCAGTCCAGGCAGCAAAATGGCCTTGGTCACCAGGGAAAGACACACACATTCTCCTGTGCCCAGGTTGTTGTTCCCTCTATGCACCACATGCTTATTTTTTTATTTATATTTTTTGTGTGCTTGGTAGTAAAAGCCGGTGGGAACAGAATGTTTTCCTCCTGAAAGCCGTAGAGGGCTCTGCTGTGTCACATCTCATCAAACAGAACTTCTCCTTTCCTTGTGCTGGTCATTCACCCAGTGACATGGCTCATCTGACAGAGCCCAGTTCTACACCAGCACAGAAAGGGAAACCTCAGCTTCCGCTCTGAAACTACAGGGTCTCCAGAAAAGTACACTATTTCTAGCAGCTAGCACAGTATCATGAGACTTGAAGCTCCCCTCACTTCTGTACAGCTGTGCAGGCCTGCTGGCTTCTAAACTGCCAGGTTTAGGCCAGCCATCAGAGCCCTCCTGAACCTGCTGCTCTCAACAGAGAGAGGAGAGGAAGGCTCTGGTAGAGAAGTTTGTCCCCCTCTGCTTTGGTATTTCTCATAGAATAAGAATGGATTAACTTTTCTGAAAGCAAAAGCTGTAAATGCATAACAAAACAACTGTAAAGAGCTTAAAATGAACACTGGGCTAGCTGTACTGCACTGCACTGCACAACACTTCAGGCCTGCTGCAACCCGGAGGTCTGTGAGGGTGACGAGAGCTGGGGCTGATGTATCTACCAGCTACATTAAGGATCCACAGAGGACAAAACAAACCCTCAAATAATAGACTTTGCTCTCTTTTGAAGCTGACCTCAGTGATACTGATCAGAGTGATGTCTGTGAGTCATGCGTAGGCGTTGGAAAGAGACCACGGGAGTGTGAGTCACAGCGGGTAGGACCGTGTTTGTCCAGAAGCACACAGTGAGCCCTGCTGATAGGACTTACTCAGAAAGCAGAACACAGTTTGCTTAGGCCAAACTACATGTTAATTGGTCCCAGCTTTGTACAAACTCCAACTTCTTCAAAATATTTAGGAAAAAAAAAAACAAAAAACTTAGTATTAAAAAATATCAATATTCTCAAATGCCACAAAATTTGACCTAAAAGAAAGGTCAGTAGGGCTTTGGCATTTTTCTCTCAGCGTCTGAGCAAAGCAGTTAGTCAAACTGGGCTGGGCACTTGTGCTCTGTCAGCTGCGCCCCTCGCTCACCAAGGGCTATCTCAAGCTGTGTGTCTGATATGCTACAAGGCTGTCCTTAAAAAAAAATGCTAAGAGAGCATTAGATCTTCAAGCAAGGTCACTTAGAGAGAATTATTTGAACAAAATAGAAACGTGGCAAAAACAAGAAGCAGCCTTGCTGCAAGTGCTGACTAGGAAGACCCAGCCAAAACCAAACAACACTACTGCAAGGAAAAGTAATGGACTCCATGGTCTTTCTCAAAAACAGCCGAGTTCTGTTCTCCCAGTGCAGAAGAACTGTACTAGCACTCCTGTAGCTGTTTGCCACTAGAATACCACTCCAACAGGCATCCCTGAGACCAGGGTGGAAAGGAAACCTGACAGCATGAAATCAGTGGGGCACCCACTAACAGTGGGGCGGTTTGTTCCGTACCTTGTTGGGTTTTTAGAGAGGAGCAGAATATGGGCATGAAGGAGTCCATCGCCTCAGTGCATGGCCGTGTTGCTCAGCAAGTGCCTCACTTGGGGTATTTGACAAACTGACACTCTGCCAGACTGAGTGTCAAACTCAGCTTGTCAAATACACGCAGTGCTGCACTGCAGCTCTCAGCAGGCTGTCACCATCCTCGCTGCGGTGCTGTCCTGGGCTAACAGAAGGAAAAGAGCACTGAAGCTGCTGTTAACTCCAGAGGCATATTCCATTTAGCAAACATCATCATCCCTCCTATACTTCCCCATTCCAACACATCTGGGGAGGCAGACATTGCCTTCCTGCTGAGGAAAATGCTATATTTGTTGAAGTGCTGAAGATCTGTGGAGCTGGAAATAATGCTGAGTTCTAAGCTCTCCCTTTAGCTAAAGATCAACTTTGGTAGCTTGAAATATTGACAAAATATCCATCTGAGCACTCAGACATGATATTTGGGTACAACATCATGAAGACAAATGTCTCTCTAGACACACAACGTCTAGACAAAGACCTGGAGAACATATTGCAGGGGAACAATTCTGCACAGGGCAGAGATAAGAGCATGATTTTTCACCAGGCTTCTCACCACTTCCATTTCTGTTCTCCTAAGCTTAAATGAGTTTTTGGGGGCTTCTAGTACTTGGTTTCTTTTATTTGCATCTCTGTTAATTTTGCAATCAAGTGGTCATATGCTTTCCAGTGCCCAATTCTAGATATGTATTTCTGCTATAGCCAGTCTGACAGATCCCAAGGAACACAGGCTGGGGTGAAATCCTGGCTTTACGCACTTCAGAGTTCCTACTAACAGGAACAGGATTCGTGTTTGACCTCATATTGTACACTAACGGTTAAAAGGGATCTTTCTACCTAAACCTAAAGATTTGAAAAGGGAACCCTTCAAGCCTATCTGGAAAAAGGCACAACTCTGCCTCACAACTCTGCTCCCAGAGTCTGCCTGCCAGCAGGAAGCTGCACTGCTCATTGTAAAGCCTGTGATGTTAAAAACTGAGCCGCTCCACAGAGAAACACTGAACTTGTCGGGGAATGAAGTGAAACTTTCTCTTCCGCTGCCGAATTAATCCCCTTCTGCTTCATTTCCAGCACACAAGAATCTCTCCTGCAATAAACAGAACTCTCCACCCTCATACATGGACATTCTCCATGTCCCTTTAGGCGTGAACATAACCTTCCCTCTCCCATTATTCCTTTGCACAAAGGCCAGAAGATGCTGCCAGCTCCCCTGTTCCTTTAACAAGAGTGGGAATTAAACTCAGAAAAGCACCTGAAGAACTTTAAAAAAACTAGACAATAGTAATAGCAGTATCATCTCTTAACTCGTACTGTGATGGGATGTTGGCAGTTCAGAATTCAAACAGCTTTGAATTCCAACATGTTCGACTCTCTCAGAAATTCATTGTGATTCCTGAGCTGTACTCATCCTTTGTAGCATTGAGATCCAGCACCCATCACAGCTCGGCAGGCCATGCCCAGCTGTGACCTGGTTTGAGTCACGGTGCTTTTAGCTGCCTTGCTTCTCCCCTCATCTTCATTTCACATGACTTGCAGCATCAGTTTTTGAGAAAGAATAAACTTCAGCTCAGCTTCTCATTATACTTTGGAAGGACAACCACTAAAGACATGAAGGTAGAATTTAGCTGAGGTGTGTTAACAGCATTCTGCAGTGAGCAATACGAAGCCTTTTCTGTCTCTGACTTCTAGGACTCTATTTTACAAGGATCATTGTAGGAATTCATCAGTATTACACACAGAAATAAACTGAAAAGGGCATCTTTGGTGGTTTTTTTTGTTTGTTTGTTTGTTTCTCAAAAATTAAAGTACAAATTAAAAAATGTTAGTGGCACATCTGTGCCAAAGATGCGCTCTTCATGTGAGCTGCAAAACCAGTACAGTGAAAAAGGATTTTACAGCAAAAAAAACAGCGACAGCCTCAAAGATAAAATCAATTTCCAGGCAAGGTTACTACAACGGCTTCACAAGTCTTACATTCCCCTGCCATCTGCATCAGGCCTTCAGGGAGATGTAGATAGTGAACAGCTCTTTGTTCCGCCTCCTAATTCAGGGTGAGTTTCAACCACAGATAAAAGTGGTATGTTGCAGTGGATAAAAGAATTATGCACATTTCACACTAGAAAACTTGTGTCAGTGCTAATAAGCTGATTTAAGATCACTCCAGCAAAGTACTGGTTTAAGTGCAATTAAAATAGGTACGTGGGCCAAACGGGTCTCCTTCCAAATCACACTCTGCTGTACTGCAGGAAATAAAAAAAATAAATTAATAAACCCTGAAGGGTTTACACAGCTGCTGTCAGTCTTAAAAAAAGCAGGATAAGATCCCTCTGCCTGAAAATGCTTTGTCAGTAAGAATTCAACACTGCACACTGAGGAGAGCAGGGGGTTAAAAAATAAACTGCCCTCATTGACTCAGAACATCAGTGTGCAATGGAGGGGTTGTACAGAGACTGAGTAGGAATCTGCCACAGACCTGCCCTGCTTCAGTGCTGGTTGCCAACTGGAAGATCTGGCCTTGAGAGGAAAAAAATCAGCCAGCATTGCATCTGCTCCAGCAGCTGACAATAACCCCTCACTGCAGCTGGGTGGGTGGGTGGGGGGAACAGCCACAAGAAACGTTGCTGACAGTAACGGATAAGAGGAGGGTCACACAGTGGAGATAATTCTATCAGCAGATGGGAATGGAGCTCACTACCCCACCCTGTAATGATGGTATTTCTTCTGAATAGATCTGTCACTGTCAGAGCTTCTGGTTTCAAGCTTTTGGGGTATTTCCAACTCAAAGCTTAGTGCTGTAAAAGAGACCAAGCAATCAGCTCCATACTGTGGGGGAGAAACAGAAAGATCTTCCTGCATTCTCCAGTTAAGTCCCTTATTGAAGTTAGGGGGAAAAACCAAAACTTTTCTAAGTCACTCACCGTCTCTCGGGGGATTTTACATGGCTACCAGGCAGGTCTGCAGCCTGTGATGAAAACAAATGAAAAGTAAAATTATTGCATACATTTTTCTCTAAGCCTGATAACAGCACTCACAAATATGCAACAGTGTGTTTCTCGCACACTGAGTGGCAGCACCTTAAGTTGAAGGCTACTTCCATTCCAGGATATGCACTTACTGTGCAGGATTAGCACTGGAATCCAGGCCATCTCTGTTTTCTGCTCAGTGAAACCCAAATAGCAGCCTGGACTGAAAGCAAGAATTCCCACAGATGTGTGGGAACCGGGTCCTCTGTACCATGGCTGTCAGTGAACCTTGGGACATGCTTCTCCAGGATCTGGAAGCCTTCATCAGAACCAAGTCAAACTTAAATAAGCATTTGCTGGTGGCAGACTTCCCATGGGTGCTGATCCATTTAGGATCTTCCTGTGCTCCCAGCCCTGCAGCTGACACTGCTGAGAGCTTTGCTTGAAAAATGTTGGAATGTTTGGCACAGTCCAGTCTCATCTATCAGGCAGGCTCCAGTGAAGCCTGGAGCTGCAGCTCTAAGGGTTTACTTCATCACAGGCAAGCTGGGCTGTACATCTATTATAGCTCCCTGTAGCACATCTGCTGGCTTGAACGAGACAGCTAGCAATTTAAAAATGGAACAAGAGGCCAAATGCAACATCTATTTAAATAATAACTTTTGCTCCTCAGCTGGAAGGTGCCAAAGCAGCTCTGAGCTGCCTCCTTTGTCATACAGAGCAGCTCCAGACTGAGCCCATCACAGCCCAGGAACACTGTGGAGCAGCAGTGTTCAAGGGACAGCCCCATTCCTGCCCCAGCAGCCTCTCCCCCCCTGGCTCTGCGGCAATTAGAAGGGCCCTTGCCTCTCACACCAGACTGCCAGGAGCCTGTGGGCTGAAGGTCACCGCTGAGCCACTGCTCTGTCCTGAAGAAAGCTCCTAAAGCTGAGACTCAGCAGTCGCACCACAGCATTGGGGAGCACCTAGCTAAGAGCCTACTGTGGTTGATGAGGGCCGTAGGCAGCTAGCAGCCACACGTTCCCACTGCCACTCACTCACACTGCCATTACCTTGGCCATACAGCTCCACACATGCTCAGTTTGTTCCCGCTTTTGTAAAAAGGCTGAGAGCAGCCCAGCCTGGACATCCCCTTCCTGGTCCTGCTCCTCCATCTTGTCCCATAAGTCTAACTTTCCCTCTTTGGACCTACTCCAAAAGCAAAGAACATAATTCAGCACTCTTTCCCCGCATACAGTGTAGCCCCACTCCCAACAGGAAACTGCATGGTTGCCTACCTCATGCCTCCACACCTCCTTCCCAGGAGTAAGAGGCAACAAAGCATACAGCCAGCCCCAGCTCTGGGTGCAGAGCCATAAGTATAAGGCACCTTCTAGCAGCTGCAAATGCTCTGGGAAGGAGGCCGTGGGCTTTGGCTATGGCTGCAGAAAAAGCTTTTGAGGTCCCAAAACGCTTTAACTGGCACCTCGCATTTAGGCGAAAGTGCTGGGAAGGGCCCAGTCACCACATTAGCTGGTAGCATGGCCACATGCCCTCCCACATCACCCACACTCACCTGTCAGCTCCAGCCCCTTCCCCCGCTGCTCTGCGATGCTTTCTGGAGGTCGGGAGAACGTTCATCTGACAGCCTGGACCTGGGAAACAGCCAGGAGAGGAGCTGAAGGACATAACTGTGCCCAGCTGGGACACGATTCCCCAGTACACCCTCCTCCATCCCACAACTTCCCCACTCTTTGTTGATGTCTCATCTATGACTAGTTGAGATCATAATCTTGCTACAGCCAGTAACATCTGTAGCATGTCTGCATGTGCCTGCAGGAGGCAGGGAAAACACATGCATCCCAACATTAAGTAGGGTATGGACACCACTTAATATTATTAATTCCTAATTATCTTCATTACTGAATCACTGTCCCAAGGACTGCATTCCCTAGGTAGGATGGGCTGTGTCTGCATCCTGCAGCTCTGAACACACAGAAGACACACTGCCCAACCACAGCTGCTCCCCAAAAGGGAATATCAACAAAGCTTCCCTGGCTTAGCAAGAAATGCTCTCGACATGGAAGGAGCAACCAGACCTGAGCTCCCATCCCCCAGAAGCTGGAGGTGCAATGGCGGCAGGGCGCCCCAAAGCCAGTGACCCACAGGGTGATCCTCCCTCTCCCCTCAGCTGCAGAACAGACCTCTGGCACCTACCAGGCAGAGGCAGCGGTGTGGGGCTGGCTTGGCAGCAGGGCACAGCTCAGGGAACACAGCTCAGTTTTGAAGGGGCCGCTCCTCCTTCAAGAGGAAGCTGCAAATGGGGAAGATAAGGCTGAGGTTAGATAACAGGAAACGTCTGGAAGCGAGTGACAACACGTTCAGGTTGTGAAAGCAGCTCCCCATCCCATACTAGTGTGCAAGGCTTGGAGAGGGCAAGAGACAGCTAGGATGACCCTCAAGCCCTCACTATGTGCAGCCAAGTCACCTCAGCAAGCCCAGGCCTTTGGAGCAGAACAGCCAATCCCTCACATCCCAGCTGAGGGCATCATCCTGCTTGCCCTGCTGTCTCCACAATGAAGCAGCTGCACGGCTGTGCTGGCTGCCCAAAGCTGGCCAGCTCACAGCATCACAGCAAAGCTGGGCTGGGGGACCCAGAGGAGCTGCAGGGAGAGCTGGAAAGGACACAAAGTCAAGGACCACCAGGAAGTCTTCGACTCAAGGAACAGGCTCATCAACATGCTTGACCCAGAGGGGTTTCTTGTATCTTCAGCTGCATAAGCAGCAGGATAAGGGCTGCCAAAGTGCTGCCTCTGGAGCTGCACCCAGACTTTATTCAGCATCATCCAGAGTTATAAACAGAGCAGATCCTGATTCTTACATCATGGCCTGCCTGCAGTACAGGGTGTCCTAAGGTAGATGGTGCATCATCCCTCAGCGCTGCTTTCATCTAACTTGACTGGCAGCAAGGCATGTCAATACAGCTGTATAGACAGAGGCCAGTGCAGAAGCTAAACTGGTCCAAGCAAAAGCAGAAACTTTAGAGGGAGATTCTTTAGTGTGGTCAGTATGGTGTACCATATTTTGTAAGGACAGGACTCATTAAAAGCGTTACTTTGTGCCTGCATTATCCCAAGCATGTATGCCAGCAGCAGTGCCACCATTAAGATGTGGAATCCTTCTCAGGATCCATCTTCTCTCTCCTAGCACTCAGCTGCTGTCCTCATTTTCCAACTTCTAACTCTCAGGTTTTCCTTCCCAGCCTTCCTACTCCAGTCCCAGCTCTGATGCCAAACCACTCAGAGCTCTTCTCACATGTGCTGCCCCAGTCCTTTGGCTAATGCAGGCTCCAGCAGCAAGTGCTGCATAATCTCCAGCAGCTTTCAGTTATGTTATCAGCAAGCTTGGGTTGCAGACATTTATTTATTATGTTCCTGCAGTTCTGTCCAAATCCCTGATCTGTAAGACATGTATGCCAGGGACTGTGCGCTCCAAGATCCTTGGGACTGCTCGTGGGCTGCTCCTGTACTTGTGTGTAGGTGCCAGGGAGGCCAGCTCTCCTGCTGAAATCCAAACCTGACGCTTGTGCTGAGGGATAGTTAGATAATGAGGAATATAGTTACTTTCAAGTTCCTCTTTCATCTGCCTGTGTTTTAAAATACATAATAAAAGAGGAATGGAAAGGTCTGGGTGGTTTATTTCTGTTTTTAGTTTGGTTTTAGTTAGGGCAAAGAAGCGGGCTTCATGTAGTCTTTGTAGCCTTTTTCTGGCCTTTCTTTTTCACTCTCCTTCTTTTGCTTATGCCCAAAAGGCTTTAAAATGGCTTAACACTGAGGTTAGGATCTATAGAAAGAAAGAAAGGGCAGATATTTTATTTTTACTATTTGTGGGCACGCAGTGCAAATAAAGTGCTGAAAAACAAAATTCTTGGTCACTCACATTGGAAGACAACTCAGGGCTGAATTTAAGAGTGAGAGAACACCCAGGCAAATACCACAGCATTTTGTCATTTCTGAAAGCCCAGACAAATCCAAATTCTTCAGTCCACACTCTAATCTCACGTTGAACTTCTCTGTATTCTCAACATGAAGCAGCTAACAGTGCCTCTCCTGTCATTTTCTGCTATGTGAACAAAAGATCTGAATTCTAATCGCTCATCTTTGCTAGTTTCAACAACAAGTTCTTAGCATTACTGATAAAACCCTGTCAGCCTGTTTCTGAACATCTGAGGGACTTCCTGTATTTTACTGGAAATAGTGCTGATGCACAACAGCGTGGATCAGAATCGATTCTGGCCCACAGGCAAAAAAAGTCAGAACCTGAAAAATGCACTCAAAATGTAGATGCTATTCAATACACACATTAGGAGAACAGGAGAGAATTCCTCCACAGATTTACTTGTCCTTTTTGCAACCCTCTGCAAGTTTGGCTCCATCCTGCTGGCAGCTATCTCCATGCTGCTCTGAAGTTAGGGGTGAAGTGTGCTGCATCTGTTGTACAGGAGGTCAGGGTGGTTAATCAGAGTGGTCTCTTTTGGCCACTCCTTCTCACAATTAATGGTGATAAGCATCAAACTCAGATGCCTAAATGTAGGCCATTAAATCTGTGGATAAAGCTTTTCGGTGCAAACAGCCTTATGGCAAAGACTGCAGGCTCCCAGCCTCCTCACTGCACCTGCAGATCAGGTCCTTCGCATTTCAGGAAATTAGAAGGCTCATTCCAAGTCTGGTGCTTTTGTCCTGCTCATTTTTGTCACCTGGCTGCACCTGGTAGCAAACCTTGCAGATCTGGGAGCAGCATCATGCTGAAAATTGGTCTGTGGGCATTTCAGGCTCGCCTTGGGTGGCTGCACAAATTAGTACTGACTTTACGCATGTAATACAAGAAACAGACTGATTTTAAAAGACGTTATGAAACTGAATCAGTGTGAAGAGAAACACAACTCTTCTGCACCCAACAAAAAGGCCTAAGGCACAGCTGCAAAACTCACACTGAGAGCTGAGGTCCTTCACGGTCAACATGTGCTCCATGGTTCCGTCCAAAGCAGCTAGGTTGAAGCTTATTCAGGTAGGCCAGCTTCAGCCAGAGTTCCTAGCAGACATGCCAGCACAGACCACTAAGTCTGATAGAGGATGATCCAGTGCCTTTCTCTAGTCAAGACACTGCTTTGCACAGCTCCCAAATGCTGCATGGTCCTGGAGGCCAATACTGATGCCTAAGGTGGACGTTCACAGCAAAGCTGACTTCCTCCATAGCTTACAAATGTCACCACAGCACCCCACTCAGTGCAAGAGCCTTGAAATTGCACTCTATTTCCTAATCAAGCTAGCTTTTTCAGTACATTTGCGGCACGCAGCTCTGCGGCCTGTTCTGGGAAGTGGGAGAAAGGAGAGAGAGAAGATAGGAAGGATTACAGATGGCCAACTAATACAGTCTCAGAGGTTTCTACACTGTTCCCCAAACCACAAAATTGTCTTGGAAAACATCTTGAAAGAAGTGGCTGAAATGGCTCACGTAGCCCATCTGACCAGCCTGCAGCAAGTTCTCTTGCATTTTAGTTTCGAGTCACTGTACATTTTACTTGTCACGAAATCAGCCATGAAGAATTAGCAGGTTTGTACTGCACAAAGAACAATTCCTTCTCATTCTGGTTCTGTGCTGCTCTGTATTCATTGATCTACACCAGTTGGTGAAGACCAAATGAATGCTGAGTTTGCTCCACTGCTCAGTGTACCTTCCCAGAATAGCAAGAGAATTTTCCTCGTAACAGTTCATTCCATAAATATCTTCAAAGCCAAGCTCCTCTTGACAAAGGAATTAAAGCTGTATATCATCTGATATATATATATACGACTGATTACAACCATCAGGATGGTCTTTCAGTTTCCTTGGAAACTGAAAATGCGAAAACACAGTTTTACCATCCAGCAGCACCTGGAACTGAGGTCATCAGTTTTTATGTCACTGTATAAAGTGATGCAAACATGAATTGTTCATACATGAAGCTTAGATTCTCTTCCCACGTGGAGTGCTATTTATTTCCACACTGGCTAACTATTTGAAGTGTTATTTTCTCCACCCTTGGGTCTTGGAGAGCTTTCAGATTAAATCCCAAAGAGCCATCTGCTGCTGGAACTTCTCTTGAGCTGTCTCTGCGAGCAGTAGATACTGATGTACCCGGGGGCAGCCTATGTCCAGGAGCCCAACTCCAGGGCTCCAAGGAAGCCAGGAGTGCCTGATGCAGCAGTCAGCTCTAAGCACAGCCTGTGGCGATTTGTCCAGATGGCACTGAACCCTGACACTTCTCCAGGCGATGTCAGGGCAAAGCTGAGGAGACCGGTGTGAGCCTTACATGAACATGCACGGAAAAAGAAAACAGTACAAAGGATCTTTCACATGAGTGACTGTAGTGGAGCGAGGAGAGGAGGAAAGGGGAGGTCAGGAGTAATCACAAGGCTTACATCTGGGAGCAATTGTGCTGCACGATTCTCCAGGGAGTAAGATGGGGTGAGTGCTGTGAACATTCAGAAGATGGTTGATGAAGCCACAGCTTAACTCTACAGACACTAGAAAAACCTGCAGCAATGCAGGAAAAAATGACAACTGTTCCTCAAAGGCTGAGACATTCACAACAGAGGAACTCACCGGGGAAATCCTCCTGTAACCCAGGCCTTTAACTCCTGCAGCTGGGCATAGAGTAGGAATCTCTTCAGCCAGCAAACTAGGCTGGAGACATTGCACCCCACTGCTTGTCTGCCTGCTTGCTAGTTCCTTCTGCAAAACACACACATGGCTGCACATGCCTCACTGGCCTGCCTGGGCCCTGAGTTGTGAGAGCACTTTTTTTTTCCCCCATTTTGAATCCTTGTTTCATTCAGAAAAGAAAAACCAAGTCAGCACCGCACACATACTCCCATTTTTGCTGTAAGAGCTGTCTCCCTCCCTTCGTGCCCCCTTCTCAGGCAGGCACACAGCAGTAAGTCAGAGGCTCGACTCCAACCAATGGAGGATGTTTCTGTTTGTGGCTGATTACATGTTAGTCTTTTATTTTAGACTTATGGTTACAAAGCAAAAAAAGAGAGAGAAAGAAGACAAATAAAAACCAGGAGTTCAAAGTTGTTTTCCTGATGGACAGCAGCAGATAACAAAACCACACTAACTGTCACAGCCACTGAATGACCCACAAGGCATTCTGTACTGCACACACTATTAGTAATAGTATACAACGAAGAACTGTTGAGCAAATGCTGTAATTCTAAAGAGGCAGAAAAAGAGCACTACTTTATATCATTTAGTACACCCGTATTT